AAAATAATCTAGTCATTTTTAAAAATCAGTTTGTCTCTAGATGAGGGCACAGAAAACTCTGCCCAAAATAGAGGAGTTGCTCATGTTTGCTGCAGTAATTCAAACTTTAAAGAAATCCATGTTTTTCTAAGCCCGACATCCTACAAGTAGCCATCTATACATTAGCTAAAGAGTATCTTCCTCCTTCTCTTTGCAACCATGTGTGCCCTAGGAAAACAGGTAGGTTCTCAGAGGGCAACAACGACATAAGAAAGGAAATAAAACATTGAAAGAAATATTAATGGATGAAGTAATTGCAGTTCATATTTCCGGGACTTGTTGAAATTATCTGAGTTCTCTAAAATACCTTGTTAATTAAATGCCAGTGAAATAATTTAAGAGGATATCTTTGGATATGAAGCTAGAACAGAAAAGTTTGTACAGGCAGAATCTCCAGCATAATTGGCTGAAAACGAGAGTTCACACTGTGCCAAAGGATAATAGGGGGTGGGACTAAAGTGTTCATGGAGTTGTGTTTGTCTCTACACTGGAGGCGAAACATGCTAGCAATTTGTATTATTTTACATGCAATATTTTAAATGCAATAATTATTTTAATAAAAATGGCACACTAATTATAATCTCTTTGTAAGCCTTCTCCTGTGCCTTTTATACTAAGAAAAAATCAGTGGCACTGTCAGTTGTAATCCACAAAGAAAACCTCTTAGGTCGCACCATCCAAGCGCGGACGGCACGCGCTCCTGCATCTGTCACCCTCATGTAGCGCTCTCCAGCACGGCTGATTCAGTTCCTCTGAGGTGGCCACCAGTCAGTACTGTTCGCAGAACTGAAGGCGTGCTGCCATGGCTTTTTTTTTTTTTGTAACAGCAAAATAGTGCAGGCTTTCTCTGTGCTCTTTCTGGTGTGGCTCCGATCCCAGGCTACTGGGCCCGCAGCACTCGAGACAGGCTCTGCGTTTGCTGTCAGCACACATCCCCAGCCTACCTCCTGAGTGGTGCTTGGTGGCCAACTTCCGTAGGTATGCGGGTAATGGCCCCGTACTTCTGCTAGGAGAGGGCTGTGATGAAGGACCCTTCAGAAATACGATTATATTTTTAAAAAAATTATGACAGTAAAAGTCACATTACTGTCCCTCACAATACTCCTTGCTACAAGCACACTTCTCAAGTTTTCCTCACCGCTTCCTGAAGCAGTCCTGGAAGCCCCCTCCACGAGGTCTGTAGTTGCTCTGACACGCCTGCCTTGATGTCCTGAAAGGATTCACCCTAAGTACCTGACTTGGGGGAAAAGTCAGAAGCCACATGGCATTAGATAGAGGGAAAAGGTATGAATGAGGACATACTGTAATACTTCTGGTTGATAGAAATTGCCATGAACATTTGGTCAGCTAGATGTACTCAAAAATAAGGTGAATGTTTAAATTTTAAAACTTATTACAGCAACAGACACATTGCGAAAGAAAAGACACACTGCCATCAATCCCCCTACCAATACTCTCCTTTGCTGAAAACACACTTATCCTATCATTCCTGGCAAAGTGATTTTTACTCTAATAAGGGTTTTTTTTCTTATTTTTTTCAATCATGTCCAAAGTAAGCACCATCTTATTTTGGAATAACGTGCCTCTTTCCTGTTTCTTTGCATAAGATCCAGGAAGCTTCCAGCTATCCATCCTCCTGAGTTTGTCTTTCCTTTTCTCATGTCAAATGGGTTCTGCTGTTTATAAATCAAACTTGGTACCAAGTAAGTACAATTTCTAGAAAGCGTGGCTCCTACACGTCCCTACTGAGAGTGCAACAATCCCCCTCTACTCCTTGCTTCCTATGTCAATATCAATTCTTTTTTCACAACAAAACATGGTCCCCAGCCCTAAGACCCCAGTCAGCAGTAGCCTCTGCCATGGACCCTGGTCAAATGCCTTAAAAATAACATCTTTTCTTTACTCTTCCTTTCTACGTCCCATTATATCTACTGAAAATACGCTTTTTCTAAATCCCATTACTTTTGCTGTATCTTCCTCCCTTGCAGAGTTGGCCATGTCACTCACTCCTTAAATCCTTAGGGTTTGCCCAGTGCCTGGAAGGAGCAAGGCCTGAGCTTGCCTGGCAGAGGTGGCTGGCCCGCATCTACATCTTCACTTACCCTTCCAGTCCTTCTTCCTGACAGGGTGACATTTGCAATCCGGCATAGTAGCTTGCATAACAATAGATCCAGTGGCCTAATTTCACCCTTGAGTTCCTGCAAAACTCTCATTCAGTTGCCCTCCATGCAGTGATTTATCTAGATTTATTGTGTCAATTTGGCAGAATGGCTCAGATACAACCAATGTAGAGTTTAATAGAATCAATCTTCCATTTCCAGGAAAAATACAGGACTGGCAATCTCTCCACCCTGGTCTTCATTAAAAGCCAGGGCTTCGGAACTCCCTCCTGAGCACCATCATTTGCTCACTGGAGAGCTCTCCATTCTTGTATCATCGGTGCTCGGCCCTCTCCCCTGAGTTCAGTTGTTCTTTCTGATTCATTGAAAGGAAGCTGTGTTGCTCTTGTAGATACATATAATGCTCCTCAATTTCTTTGCATTTCAAAAACTACCTTCTTCCTATATTATTCCCAATCTTCCAAGATTTTCAGATTTTTTTGTTGTTATTTGAAAACATATTCCCACCTAAGAAAAAAAATTGATTGTTCCCAGATGTAAACTGCTGGTACCTGCAGTTATCCATGCAATTGAGAATACACAGACATGAGATGATTATGGTTTTTTACAAAACTATTGCATTTTTATAACAGCTACCTACTCTAAAATTAATTTTTAAAAATTATGATTAAGTGTTCAAAATGTGCGGCACGCTTTCATAAAGATTAATAGCCATTCATTAATAAAACAAATTTATTGATCATTAAATTCATGTTAAATAGAAGCACTAGGCACTGGAAATTTAACTAATTTAGAAGAATCATTTCTGTCCTCAAGGTTCTCAGAGCATACAGTCACATTGCAGACAAGAAAATAAACAAATCAAGGTCACTTCTTGTGATAAATGCCACATAATAGGTAAAAGTGGAGGAGGGAGCGATGCTTATCTCCACATCCAAGGCAGAAGCTGTTTTTAGAGCAAGGTGAATGGTGGTATCGATCAGCATCTCCAAGAGTGGGTGCGAGAGTGCTGGATGGACAGTGGGGGAAGGGCAGGGCCAGGAGACGTGGACCAGGATGGCGGCAGTACAGCTCCTGAAAGGGCAGCTGCTGCAATGGCAGGAGATAGCTAGCTATGCCATGAGAACAAAAATAAAATTTCATCCTGGAGGAAAAGGAGGTCAGGAGCATTTTAAACATGGCATAATACAGTCAAATTAATTTATAAGTATGCAAGCAGAAGGATTATCCTGGAAGTTATTACTGTGTTAAAGCAAGAACCCAAAGAAGCAGTGATTGTCGAGGGAAGGGATGGTTCCATACGCAGTGAAGAGAAACACTGGAATCTTTCAAATGTTTGCTCAGCACAGTGGTGAATTAAGGAAGAGCAAAAGTCAAGCTGAGGGTGACATCTGTTCCAGTGTTCATTTTTAGATAACATGGTAATTCTAACAACTAAAAGAAGGGTGGAGGAGGAAAAGTAGTTAGTATTAGAGTTGGTTTCTGTATTATAGAATGGCTCTCTGAAGATAATGAGCTCCATTATGAACACACCTAGTTTGGCATGAGGTATCCAAATAATGAGTTTTCAAAAAGCATTATATAAGCCTGGCACTCAGACTTAGAAATATATTGAGAGAATCACCAGGATGAGATTCAGTCAGTTTAGTATCCTGATCAGCTATATTCTAGGTGCTATGCTAAGAAAGAAAGCAACAAAGATGAGTGACAAATGACTTTTCTCTAAAACCTACTATGGAATAAAGAAGCCCACTAAAGAATGCATATAAATCTTATTCATATAAGTAATTTAGTACACACTAAAGAATTGGAAGTATACACACTTACTTCTGAGTCACATTATTACTTTAATCCTGTTGTCCATTCTTAAGCGTACCAACTATCAAAGCAATGAATTCACTAATATAATACTCTTTCTAATTCCAAAGATAACAGAGTACAGTGGTGCCTCAGTGCACGAACTTGATTCTTTCCAGGATTCTGGTAGTAAATCAAGTTAGATCAGAAGTGAATCAAATTCTGTGATTAGATTCAATGTTGACCTCATAGGGAAATCTGGTTGAGTTCTCATCTAGTTAGTTTTGTAACCAGAATCTTGGAAGAATTGAGTTCATAAACCAAGGCACCACTGTACAATTTTTTTTCCAACTAGAAAATAAATTAGCTGAAACACTATGCTTCTCACAGTATACCCTTTACGTCGCATTTTGTGGAAGACAAGTTTTTTATACTTTCTATATCAATGAACATATTTGTGTCAGTTTAGGTAAAAGTAGAAGTATTTAAATGCAGCTCTCACTTTTCCCTCTTTAAAATACCAGCTTTCTTTGAAAAGTAAATATGTCATGCAGTCACAGTTGCCTTGTGGGTAGGAAATGATCACTGAATAAATGTGTGACGAAAAAGTCCTCATGTTTCTCTAACCTCAAATTCAGGAATTCTATGAAAAGAAAGACATTTCTGAAGATTGCTTGAATAAATTAGAGTGGAACCCTGCACACAATTGTATGAGACCCCAAGTGAAAAGCGTGTTCTGCCATTTCTATGCATAGTTAGCTAGTGCAACTTCCTTTGTCCATCAGCCCAGTTTTGCAAATGAGATATATAAAAAATAAACCCGAAGATTCTGATGCTCTTTAAAAAAAGGAACTTGAACAGATTTTCACAAATGCATGTTGAATTCTACTCAACCTTGCCTAAAATGAATGTGTTCACATAATGCATGCAGTTATGTAGCCTTGATTTGTGCAGAACAGAAAATGTCAAACAGCATTACTGGCTGCGCTCCAAATGACATCATATTTGTTTCTTGTGTTTTGTTTTTCTATTGCTGATAACCAGGGAAGGCCATGGCAAGATTTCAGTGTTTGCTGTCAAAATGGCGTTAGCCACGCTGTGTGGCGGGAAGATCATGGACAAGCTAAGGTGTAAGTGGCTCCTCTTGTGTCCCCTTCCAGCTGGCAGTGCCCTGTCATGCTCCTCCTGTCCCTCAGTCCCAGCACATCCTTCTGTGCATTTGTGTGTTTCTGCATTCCCTAAAAATCTCTTGAAATGCAGTTGTTGATCTTTGAATGTTGTCACAGAAAGATGAAAATGAAGTGGACATTTTCCTCAACTTGTGGATTAATAGTATTTGAAACTCACATATCACCAGCTGGATTCTTCCTGATATCTCTGTAAGATAAGCGTTCTTTCTAGTTCATTATGCCGTGCTGTATTACAAGTAGTTAGTTGATCAATTTAAAGATGTAAAAACTAAGCAGGCAGTGATCCCCTTTAGACTTTTAAGAAACAAAGGTGCTGGCACATTTAAACATTCTCCTCAGCATGTCCGATTTAAGTCACTAGAAACTCCACAGATTCTAAAGCAGGTATTGCTGGGGAATGGGCATCAGAATTCTAGAGAGACTGTAGCACTAACGACAGCCAAAAAGCAGGGAGTGGCTGCACATCTTGGTGCATGTGCTGTTGCTCACTGCAGTGCAGAGTTTTAGCCAATAGCACAGTGTTGTTTTTTTTTTTTTTTTTTTTCATTTGTTTACTATGATTTAGAAAACTGAATCTCATAAAATAAATCAGAAAAAAAATCACATAAATAAGATGGTGCTAGGATATAAATCCTGACGCTTTTTTCTATACCACTGTTCCTCAAATTGTAGTTTGCTTTCTAAAATACAGACTTGAGGGCCAGCCAAATAGCTCAGTGGATTAAAGCACCTGCAAGCAGGCGCAGGGACCAGTGTTCAAGCCCTGGGCCTGCCATGCTAGCCCCACCCCCAGGGCATGCTGAGATGGCAATTGAGACTGGGTGTGGTGGCGCGCCTCTGTAATCCCAGCTCTTGGGAGCCTGTAAACAGGTGGATCACTGTGAGTCTGATCTAGTCGTGAGACCCTGAACACCCTGTAGAACCTTCCCTAAAATACAAAACTAAAATAAAATAATAACATACAGACTTCTGGATTCCTTCTCCAGAGTTTCTGATGCAGTAGGTCTCAGGTAGGAAAGTTTTCTTTTCGAACTAGATTAAAATGATGGTGACACTGACATTGAAAAGTTTCCTCTAGCTCTAAATTGCCCTAAATCTGACTTTGGGCTACAGCGCCGTGTTAAAAGGGCACTGCTGTGGGAGTTGGGAGCTCCAGCTATGGGACCAATCTGCTGAGTGACCCTACATTTTTCTTTCACTTCTTTAGTCCTCAGCATTCTTCCACAATCTGACTTCAAGGACCTTATTAATCACCTGCAGCGTCACTTCTAGCTGCAGCCATGTATGACTCACAGCCCTAGGTTTTGTTGTTTTGTTTTGTTTTGTTTTTGTTTGTTTGTTTTGTTTTGTTGTTTCTGTCTTTTTGAAGTGGGGTCTTACTCTGAAGTTCATACTGGCGGGGAATTCACTTTATAGCCCAGGCTGGCCTTGAACTCCCATTGCTCTGACTGCCTCAGCTTCCAGGGTGCTTCGATTACAGGTGAGCACCACCACACCAGGCTTCCGTAAGTCTTTCCTGCTGGCTTCAGAGCGCACCTTTTGTTTCTTGCGTGCCAAGAAACAGAATGAAGCAAGGAACAGAACACTTTGCTTCTTTGGAACTTCCCCAGATGCTCTTCCAGGAAGAGTTTTCTTGTGGATTCAGTAAATAAGTAAATGGAAACACAACACAAAACCCCAGGTGACCACCTGGGCCCCCTCATTCCCAAAGCCTTTCTTCTGGGGAGAGTGAAGCGCAGCTGAATGCAGCGACTTCCAGCCCGACCTCTTGAGGGTTAGGTTAGTCTGCGTATACCCCGATGAACCTAGACAATGAAAATTATCTGTCTCAGTGCTTGGTGGAGAGTCCATTACTATATTAATTGTACCTCGATAAAATTGGACTCAGTGCTTGAGGAAAATGGATAAAAACAACTTTCTAAACTTCAGAACTCTAGCCTTCAAATGTTCCACATTAATCGTGTGCCCCCAAGAACCCAAGTCTTCTCGTGTTTCCCCTCTGCTTTTCTGTGTCAGATGCCATCTTTTTCCAGAGGAAAAGGGAGTTTGGCAGTTTCAGGCATCTCCTGTAACCCCAGCCTTCAAGTGTCATCGTCCAGGGTGGCATCTCAGGCCAATCATTAACCCAGTGACTATGAGAGGAAAGGCCTGACAGACATTACAATCGTGTGGCAATCATTTCACCTGTTGGGCTAGGACAGCCCACTCTTTTCTCTTAGCTGAGAAAAATATTTGGGACCAATAAATTCAGCAATTACCAAGGTCAGGCTATATTTGAACAGATCTTTACCAGTCATGAGAACCATGACAAGTGCCAGAAGTCAGAGAAAACAGGGTACCTGCTATGCTGTCTTCTCCCCAACCCCACTTGTGACCCTCCAAGAAGTATAGTCAGTCTGCAGAGTAGGCGTGCTGTCAGCAGCCAAGTCGGAGCTCCTCAGTACAGCACTGGAAGCAACCAACCATGGATTCCACTGGAGACAGAAGAAGTTCCCCAGGCAGTAGAAACCAGCACCACCATGTCACAAATTCTGTAGCAGAGCAGGTGGTGTGACCACGATGTATCATGCTCCTCTACCTAAGAGCAGTCGATCTGAATCGTAGTCTCTTGTGTCCCTAGTTCTCTGACTGAGGAAGCGCTATTCATACTGACAGTGGTAAAGAAAGAGCTTCATTGGATTCCAAGTAACTTATGTATCTGAAGCAATTTGACAAAAAACAATTATGCCGGAAGCAATTTGATTAGAAGAATCTCTCCAAATGTTAATCAGTCAAAAATGATTATCCTTAGTCACCAGTATTTCTAGTTCCAATGATAATTACTGGCTGGATGAGCAATTGTGTTCAAATATTCCCATAGACATCAATGACTGACTCTTGGTAATTGAAGTTACGGGTATTTTCTATGGTCTTCTATTACTGGCTGTCATTTCAACAAAAAGTAGACAAGGTTATGGTTTCCTACATTACTTTTATAATTAAAAAAGAGTACAGTCAAAGGACCTAGAATATTTAGGTTTTCTTTTCCCTTCCATAAATTTTTCTAATTCACTTCAAGCCAGTATGCCAACTGTGCTCACTTGGCAGTTTATCTTTTTGTGTACAGGGATGAAGGAGGTTTGGTTTGTTCCCACCTGCCCCTTTTGGTTGAAGAGCTCAGAGCAAGAATAATGGGCTGAGAGTAAATTATAAATTTTTAAAAAAGCAGGTGGAACAGTAGAAAATTAGAGCTGAGTTTTTCATTGTTTAAAATATATAAAAAATTAAGTCAACACCATTCACATCACAGTTTCTAATACTCAAGGCCCCCATCAGCTGGTATTCGGTGTTGGCGATACAATTCTGAAGACCATCACTGACCCAAAATAGGAGAGGAGGTACGCCCGGCCACCTGAGCAGACTGACTAGCACACCGCTGTTCTGTTCAGTTGTCCTCCATCAGATAAGAAACTACTGTCTTCAGGGATTGGATCACCTGTTTATACTTCTGCCTTGGGGCTCCTTAACAGTCCTAAGAATCATAAGAAATTCCAAGTCCACTACTGTAAGCTTGGAATATCTCGTACTGTTCTATATAAGTTCTTAAGTTAAGAAGAACTTGTTTTCTCTAGCTCAAAAGACTTGCATTATGGCAAATGTCTGTATTTATGGAGTCTACTTCTAGGGCAGGGTTTCTAACACCCTGGCCTACTTTAGATTCTCTAGGAACTACCTCAGCACACTCGAGACATAGTCCAAAGACTCTGAGCAGAGCTTGCAAAGCCCTTCCTATGTCAGCCTCACCCCTTACCATGCCTTGAATGCACCCCAGCTCCTGCCCAGGGGCTTAATTACAGATCCTTGAGTGTGCTGTGCTTTCTCTTCTCTCCATGCTGGTGCTGTGGTTCTGGGCCTGCTTCCCTGCACCCTCTCCCCTCCCCTGTGCCTGCCTGGCCCATCAGTGGCCTTTCTACATGGCTTTGACTCACTTCCCCCTCTGCAAGCCTCTCTCAGAGCTTCTTCCCCACCCCACCCACTTATTCTAGCATCTACACCATGATGTAAATTCTTTGGTATCCTCTCATGTACCCAGCAAGCACTTCTCTGCCACTGTATTGCCCAGAGGGCAAGAATTACATCCTAACTTTGCAATATATTCACTGCTGACCACAGTTTCACACATTTAGTATGTGCCAGGTTGCTTTTAATTCAAAGAATCAGTAAATGTAAATTCTTCTAAAATAGCCATACTTCAGCTGGAGAGATAGCTTGGCAGTCCACACACCCACCTGGCAAACACAAGGACCTGGGTTCCATCCCAAGTACCTCATGCTGTGCTGTTGTACCAGCAGCCAAAGCTGGACATGGTGGAGCACATCTATAATGCCAACTGGGGAGGCTGAGACAGGAGGATCACTACGAGTCCGAGCTGCTTAGTGAGACCTTGTACCAAATAAAAATATTTTTTAAAAATTAAAATAAATAAAATATCCAGACTTGTATGATGCTGTAGGAAGTGCAAAAGTGGTTCAGAGTTTGTCTGACTTTTTGTAAGACATCATTGAGGAGGCAAAGCCTAAATGTCTGAAGTTCATGCAAAAATAAGGCAATATGAAATTAATATGGTGTCTTATGTACAAACTGTCATTCTATGTGTTTTACAAGGATTAAGTACTTCTATTAAATAATTCAATCCTTGAAATAGCCACTCATATGTGTAAATGGGTGTGCACACTTGCCATCGTGATCATCGTGTTACCTAGAGCCCGAAATAAGCTGCAAGCGCATTTCGTTAGGCACTCCAGAGTCCACGCATCTCTTCTTCGAGGCCTGTGTGGCCCTTCACAGCGACTTCCCATTCATCACAGCAGTCTAGCCCAAGCTGGCTCTTTGTAGCACATCTTCATCAACATAGATGGATCAATATTGCTTTCAAACATGTGAAAGCTCACTAGTGGTGCTCCCTATTTTTCCTCTCCAGTCAGAGTTGTCTAAATTCTTCAGAGGGTGACAGAAAGGCTACTTTACAAAGTGCACCCTGAGGGCCGGCCAAATAGCTCAGTGGATTAAAGCACCTGCAAGCAGGCACAGGGGCCAAGGGTTCGAACCCCGGGCCTGCCATGGTGGCCCCACCCCCGGGGTGTGCTGAGACTGCATATGAGACTGAGTGTGGTGGCACATTCCTATAATCCCAGCTCTTGGGAGGCTGTAAACAGGAGAATCACTGTGAGTCCAGTCTAGTTGTGAAACCCTGAACACTCTGTAGACCCTTCTCTAAA